CCCCAAAACCCCAAAACCCCAAAACCCCTAGAGTCAAAAGATAATTATTTCAAATTGTTTGTTTGACTTTTAAAATAAACTAGCATTGTACTATTGAATTTATTTTATAAAATGGAAATATAGCAGTCTGCTTATTAATCAGTTTAATCTTTTAGCTATTATGAGCAGCCAGTATAAGAGACTAAAGTACCAGCTTTAGTAGGACTATAGAACTAGGCAACTGCCCATTATCAATACACCAATAATAGCGATTTATTTCCAAATCCACATGAGTCATCTTCTTGAAGAAACCATAACTAAAAATTAAAAAATTCGAATAGAGCGATCAATTAAAGAATGACTAATAGTTCTATTTAATCTTTCAACAGGTAGAAGTCTATTGAGGCTCAAAAGCTTAATATCTTGAAAAATGTTGAGGAATTTCAATTAGCTCCCTTTCAAAGAATGATGAATGAGGATCATTAGAATGAGTATAGAGATTACCATCACTAGCATCATTAATCAAATAATCAAAATCACAACTATAACAACCACATTGCTCCATAACGAGCTCAATCAGCTTTTGATATGAACTAGCCGATACATAGAAGAGTACAGAGCTAGGCTGTTAATAATTCCTAAAGTCCGAATCGATCAATTGCTAATGATGGCTATCCCCCATACTCCAAAAAGAGCACGATTAACCCAGAGGTAAAATTTTTGCAAAAGAGAGTAGATGATGCTATCAGTGCTTTCGATAAATATAAAAACTCACATTTTAAAAGGCTTGACACAGTGAAATAGAGCATTAAAAAGCATGCTAAGTTTGTAGAAGAGAGCCAGCAAGTTTAACAGGAGATATAGTTATTAAAAAAAGTAAGGAAAATGACTAGGTAGAGTTATCAAAATAGAATAAAAACTGGAGGAAGTCTGATGGATTTTTCTATTTTCAAAGCACCGAATCCTAATGACTTTCTTCATTTAGATAAGCCTCAAAAATCCTATAATTTTGGTCATGAGGAATCAAATTATACTACAAATGATAAGAGGCATGTAAATTTGGATGATAACGACAAATTCAAGCAATACTTTAAGCATATTCCTAAGTACCCGCTAAAGTCAAACTCAATTAAGAGTTCATCTAGAGTAACTCACCGTATGTAAGCCGAGACTGCCCCTTAGACAATTGTCAGAGAAAGTGTATAGCAAGTTAAAGAGAAAAAAAGTTTATCAAGAACCAATGATTTAATTTCCAAATCAATTGATCAAAAGCAGCTACTTAAGATCAATATAGCAACTGTAAAAGCTGACTAAGAAATTCTGAGAAAAGATTAACTTAAAAGCATGATTTATAGCTTACCCGTCATCCTGGCTAAAAATCCTCATGATAGGGAATCAATTGACTATAAATTTTATCAAGCTACTAATCATATTTACCACCATGAGTATGATGAGGCTTTCGAAATATTTGAGCAAATGCTTTTTGGCTAGAGTGTAAGTACCTAATTTCAGCGAGAAATGTGCGATTTCAATAAAGCTTTTTGCTGTTTCAAGTTGGGTCAATTCGAAAAAGCTATACTCATTTGGGAAAGAGTAACGTTTTTCTCTTTGTAAATTCTTAGCAAATTTAACATTTCTATTGTGCATATCCTCAATGAGAATTATTAAGAGGCTTTAGAAACCTTTAATTTTGCTATGTAGCAATAGATTCACGGATTTATGAAGATAGACTGGATACATTTAGATGACTACAATAAAAAAGCAGTTTAAATTTTCAATTTACTTGAAAAATAGCTAAAACCTAAGACAATTTTGGGAGATGAATCAGATACTGAACCTAATTTGAATGTTGTCAAAATATAGAAGAAACTCACTTCTATTAGAAGCTATTTTTAGGATATTAAAAAATTAATTCCTGCTAAGGATTCGCAACTTAATACAATTAGAACATAAGCAAATAACAGAACAGCATCAGTTACAAATATAGCCCCTAGTAAATCAGTATCCTCCTTAGCTCCTAGTATTAATTTTAAAAAGTAAAAATCTATCTCAATTTCCTCTGACTATGATGCATTCTCCTCTTATCAATCTCCAAAGAAGTCTTAGCTTGCCAAGGATTTAGATGCTATTTAAAAAAATGAAATCCTCATTCCTGACAAGAAAGAATATTTCCCTATTCCTTTTGAAAAAACCAAACGTTAGACAACATCAAATTCATCTAGATAATTGGAAAGGTAATTGGAAAGGCAACAAAAGATGAAGCAAGATAGGTAATAGAAATTACTGTAAAAGTTAATCAATCCAAGTATGGATGAGCTGGGAGTATATTAGAATTAGAGTGAGAATCAACTTGATGGTCATCTAAACAGTGTGTCATTTATGTCGCAATAAAACATAGAGTAGCTTGTTTATAAGTAATATCAGAATTCAAGGATCGAGGAGACGATTACACATAGTAATAATACCCAAACGAGAAGTATATATTCGAGGCATAAGCTTACTCGAAAGTAATCTCAATTATTTTAAAGGAAGCAAACAAAAAAAGATCTTGAAGTCAGAGAGTGCCTCAATATGGATCTTATAGATGAGTAGATAAAAGAACTTGATTAAGTATAATACCCAACTGAAGTATAATAGTCAGAATCTACAATGTAAATAGAATATGATAACTAGGGGTTTGCAATTAGAAGACCTCATTTTATTGACAAGGAACATGAGATAGATATAGAAAAGATCTTAGGGCTGAATAAAAAAGTAGAATTGAATGAAAAAGAAAAAGATATATAAGAAAAAAGAAAATAAATTGAAAAAGATTACATGATCGATAAGGTAATGAATAACTTAGAGGCAGATTAGAACTCAGATGATGGTGATGATGACTCCTTGACCAAGAGAAATAATAATTTTTTAATGGACAACTTCCTCAAAATATATGATAGAACTCCTAATCACAAGAATGATGAGTCTGCAGAAATGCCTAAAACGCTTCCTAAGCTAAACATTAAGAAAGGACTAACAAGTAACCCTAAGTCAAAACATAATCAGTCATAGTAATCCCGTAAAAGTGGGAATAATGATTCAAGAGCCTCTTAAAGAAGACGAAATTCTTAGAAAAATGTAAAGGTTAGGGGCGAGAATCACACTGATAGTGAAGATGAGAGACGAGACGTTGTTTACAAGAAGAGACTTAGACTTACTGAGGTAGATTAAGTCGTCAATTTTATAAAAGATAGGGAAACTCTTTCGATAAACGATTATAAATTAATCGACCCATTCTTGAAAAAATTAAGCTTTTTTGCTAAGTATCCAGTAGAGATTAGGAGATAGTTAATAATGGAATGTGAACTCAATATTACAAAATGTGGGGATATATTATTTTACTAAGGCGACACCAGTCCTTAATTTTATGTTTTACTAAGAGGATCAGTGAAGGCAATATTAATAAAGAAGGACTACGGAAATATTCCAATAATAATTAACACTTACTACGATGGAAAAGAATTTGGTGAAGTCAATTTTTATGAGGAATCTGAAAATCTTAATTCTGAGATGGTAGTCTAGCTTAACAAACAAAAATATACATGCGAGGCAATGGAAGATAGTTACGTTATTTGTTTGGAGAAAGATAAAACAAATAAAATTATCAATTAGAATTTGCAGGCAAATTTTGAAAAGAGGATTGACTTTTTGAAATAGATAGAAATCTTCAAGGGTATGGAGATGCATGTACTATTGCCACTTGCGAATAATCTAATAACAGAGACCTATAGATTGGGTGAATATATATTGAGAGAAGGATAATAACCAAAAGGTTTATATCTCATCTTTAAGGGATAATGTAAAGTCGGATCAGAGAAGTTAAACATGCGATCTAAGACACCATTTAGCTTTGGGAATAAATTAAAGAAGCAGATTAGAAATTTCAAATTCAAAGGTAACTTCCATGACCTGGAAGAAAAATTAAGTAGTGATCAGAAGAATTAAACAAGTGATAGAATTGAAACTAGGGAATCAAATAATGAGCCTTTGAATATAGCAAAAATAGGAAACGACAAGATAATGAGAAGTGATAAGAGAGTTTTCTAAAATGACAGAATATACTATGATGAGGCAGGCAAAAGGATAAAAGACCATATAATTTATAAAGATTATGTAAGACTGCTCATTTTTAACTTTTATAGATGGTATTTTTCACTTTATGTGGAAAGGATTACTTTGGAGGTAGAGTCTTACTTATTGGAGACACTTAGAATCATAGAATTATGAACTTTGACTCTGACTATGATGGTGAACAGTCCTAAACTAGTTTTATGAAGCAATCAAAACTGGCAATAACTGAAGATTAATCTCATTTGTCTGTGGTAATTTAAAGTTCAAGTCTTACAATTTATCAATAGATAGCTGATTCATCAGAGGTTGAGTTACTTATAATGGACAGGACATAGCTAAGTTTCTTTCAGGAAAAAGTGCAAAAAGAAATATATCACAGAATAGAGAAAGCATTTTAACCTGATTAGCCTTACGAGAGTGCTGTTGTAGAAAAAATAAAAGATAAATTTAGAGAATGGGAGAAGTACAAACTGGAGACCGTTAATAGCATACTCAAGTAATCATATGCTGAACGCAAAAGAAGTCAGATATTAAATATTAACAGATGAAGTGAATTTTCTTATTATGAATATATATAATAGCATTTTTTTAAATTAACATATATTACTATTACTAAGGTTGAGACCATTTTAAGCTTCGATAATTGTTCTTATAGATTTGTTGATTCCTTCGATCTCTTAAAATTTTCATATAAAATAGGCTATACTAAAGAAGAGCAAGAAAACTGCCGTCAAAAATGCATTTATGCTTCGCACTTTTATACTTTGATTAAACCTTTGATACCTTTGCACATTAATTCTAAAACTTATTGGAAATTTAGTTGGATTATTTACTATGAACCTTCTCATCTCAGCTCTCCCCTAGACATCATACCATTATATAGTCTGACCAGTTTTAGCACTTCCAATAGAGACCCAGGAGTCTAGGGCATTTCTTCTGTATTAAGTGACACTTAATTCCTTTGGATAGATCACTCTAGAAATCCCCGTGTAAACATAATACTCACAAAGCGATTATCCTTTTAATTTCATCATTGTTGTAATTCCAAAACTATCATCTGTTTATGATTCATAGTTAGTTACAGTGTAATCGAAGCAGTTTGGATTAAAGACCACTGAATCTATTTATTTAAATAGGATGGTGAAAATGATCAATAAGTCCAAACCTACAATTACCATTACTTCTCTAATATTTTTGATAATTATTCAATCTATCTAATTTTATATCATCGAGACTGCTTTTATTCTCGTCTGAATTGAAGCAGGGGTTTTGGGGTTTTGGGG